ATATATTTGTATATTTAAAACTGTTATTTGAACTTTCTTTTAGTGAAGTTGACAAAAGTTGAAGTTGGGCAACAGTTAAGACATGGTGGAAAACACAGAAACCCAGTTAGAAATATAGATCCATTGAATATATTTGTGTATATATGGTACATATATAGGTCAAGTAGCGTAAATTAGCTGCCAGCTGAAGATTTAGAATAATTAGCTAGTTAGAGTTAAGGTAGTCCAGCCCACAGGTATATAGTGTGTAAAATTCATTTTTGTTTGTACAATACGAGTAAAAATTTCTAGTTCGAGGCAGCTCGTTTTTTTTTTTTTTTTTTTTATAACTCTCTACGTCCGTGCAGCAGTTGGAGTGCGTGAATGTATCTTTTACCATACCTTTGGCATTCCTACCTCGTGGCACCAAATTGTGTAGGCCACTATGATCCCTGCTGATCTTCTGCACCTCGCCATCCTCGGTCGGTGTAATCAGATCCCAGATGAACGTCTTGATCTTCTCGTCACCCTTGTACACCTGCAGGCAGTACAGCAGCTAAAAGAGAGCAAGAAACCAGATTAGTTTCAGATTCAATCAATATTATAGTAGATGGGGAAAAACTCATTGTTTTGTTTGTTCAGCATGTTGAGAAGTTGTGTTTTTACTCAGCGAAAACCTAAAGTTTTCTCAATATTAGCATGATAGTCATCATTAAACAAGTCTCATATGTGGTATACATATATACACTTTATCTCTTTGCGATTCATCAGTTGTCACTTACTATAATGCGCGCACAGTCCTCGATGTCCACTTCGCGCCAGCCGCGCTTAAATTGACCCAATTCCAAGAGTTCCGTCCAACGACCCCAACTGCGAAAGGTAAAGGTAAAATAAGTGAGTAAATATAGATAAGGAATACTATAGGTAATGTTCTTCTATGTGTGTTAAAACTAGAAATTATGATAATGACTCAAATTGTATTTCTGAGCTCTCGTTTATGGATTGAGGGAAATTATCATATTAGATAGATTAAGTAGAGAGCATAGAAGGCTTAGTAGGAGTATTCTCTGTATTGTAAACAGTTTTGTCATACACAATCAACTTATTGCACATCTACGTTCAAACCACAAGGCAATATTCTTTTCGGCTATAAAATTTCTATACTGAGCGAGAGATAGAAGGCGGCAATAAACGTTGCATTTAGTCCTTGTGAATCTCAGCATATTTACATATATATTTTGTTGTTTATTGTTGTACAAGCAGCCATCATGTTTAGCATATCAGAGAAGAGCATCGGCACCATCGAATCGAAATTCAATGTCAATCGATCCCAATCGCAAGCGCCCGTCGCTATCGAGCCGGAGACTTATGAATTGGATATTGCGGCCATATCGCATAAATATCATTTAGATGATTATTTGCAAATGACGGAGGAGGAGCGTCGAGTCCTATTAGTGCAAATGGATTCATTGGACATGCTTAGAACAGTTGAGGAAATTCAAAAGGAATTGGCCATATATAAGCTGGAGAACTACATAATGGTTGATTTTCTGGAGAAGAATGATCCGAAGCTTTTAGTTGGCCTGCGTCAGCGTCGCACTTCGATGGTGAAGCGCATGCAGTCCAAGTCCCGGCCACAGGACAACCTGGCACAATCCAGTCGTCACTCTAGCTCCAAACGCTCCATGAGCTTATCCATACACATGGGCGCAATGAGCCAGATAGGCGAACGACGCAAACAGGTTGATCACAAATTGAATTTCAAGGCCAAAGCCGAACTGGCCGAAAAGGCGGCAGCGGAGGTGGAGAAGCGAGTGATCGATATTGAAAGGAATGGTATGTTGAAAGTCAGAGTAGGTGACACTTATACACTATATGGTATCTATAGTACTATGAATACATAGACCAATCTTAGGGCATATTATGTTGTATAGATATTCATAGAGCTTTAGAATATTACATAGAATAAGATATGTTTTTGTATTTATATAGTATATATATAATAGAATCTATAGCACTATGAATACATAGAGTAATCTTAAAAGATATTATGGTATATGGGTATTCATAGAGCTTTAGAATATTACATAGAATAAGATATGTTTTTGTATTTATATAGTATATATATAATAGAATCTATAGCACTATGAAAACATAGAGCAATCTTAAGGTATATTATGGTATATGGGTATTCATAGAGTTTCAGTATATAGTATAGAGAAGCTAGCAAGGAAGACTATATAGATTGCATATAGAGTATACATAGCAGATACAGATAACAGTATAGATAGGACTAATATATCTAATATCTTATATAGTATCCAATTCAATTCTCTTGCAGCTATGGTCGAGGTCAAGCAGTTGCGCGCTAAAATCGAGGAGCTGCATTATCGCAGCGAGGAGACCATTGAAACGGAAAAGAATTTCCTGCTCCACTTTTTGCGCGACAATAATGATATAGCATTTCTGGAGAGCGCTACGGAGCGGCAGGTGGAACGCAAACTGCGTAAATTTACGGCCAACTGGTTTAAGAACGCGCGCGCTCTGCTGGGCACGATGCGGTTGACAATCGTATCGTTGCAGGAGACGTGTCAACAGCATCGCGCTGATCTGATAACCAAAGCCGATTTGAGTGGCATTTTGACAGCTGTCGATTTCGAGAAGCTGATTATCAAACGCACCGAGTTGACCAACGAGCTGGAGGAGAAGAACACCCACATGGCGGGACTGAAGGGTGTTACGGGCAAAACATCGCTGGCCATGACCGAGGAGAAGCAGGCCATGATGAACTTGGAGACGGAAATGCGCAATGTCCTCAATCGTACCGAGGAGATATCGCGCACGATAATCAAACTAGAGAAGGAGGTGGCCATGGTGCGGGTCAACAATGAAAAGGATTATGTTGTCTTGAATGAGCTGCGTGCCCAGCTGGAGGAATACGATGCTCCAAGTATTACCGAATATATTGAAAAGAAGGAGGAGGCTCTACTTTTGGAAAAGGAAGAGAAGATGCTGCAGCGTAAGATCTATATACTTAATATGAAACTGAACAATGTGATGAGACGTTGCAGATATCGTGACGATATATAGAAAGAAAGAAATGATTGCCTTACCCAAATGAAAGCAGTCCTTTCTCCACTTTGAAGCATTCCGACTTGGCCCAGTTGCCATACTGAATCTCCTCTAGACCCAAGGCAGCCAGGGCATCACGCTCCCTGGGTATATATTCATCGTGTCCCTTCTTTTCGCGGTTGCGATCGCGCTTCTCCTTGCGCCGTCTCGAGCGTAGACCTAGATTAAGTTAAAATATGTATAACTGTGTCTATAAGGTTTCTATGACACCCACCTATGCCGCCCTCTTCATCGCTGTTCTCATTCGACGAATCCTCCGAGTTGATTTCCATGACATCCTCGTGTCCATAACGTTTGATCTGTGTTCGCCTTCTGGGCTCCGATAGCACCAGATCTTCGGTCTCATCACGTTCACAGGCATCTGGATCGATGTCCACTCGTTTGGCCCACTTGGTCCAAAAGTCGGGATCGTCAATTGTAATATCTGAGCGATTGCCAGAGGCGGCAAATGAAGCCTTCGAGAAGGTCGAACCCTTCTCCGACTCCATCGTTATGACTTGTGTACGTCGCTTCAAAATCGAGTCGATGTCCTCTTCACAGAACTTATCGCCCGCATTATCGTCATCCATGACAGCGCCATAGGCGCCCTTTTTGAGCAAATCCTCGATCTCCTTCTTGGACAGCTGCTTGTTGTTGCCATCCTTGGAGCCGTGCGTGTTCATGGACTGCAGTACAGCCTTGTCCAGGCCCAGTTTCATTGAGGCCTTGTCGAACATCTCTCGCTCGTAGGTATTCCTGCACAATAAACGGTAGATCTTAACCATTTTGCGTTGGCCAATGCGATGGCAACGGGCTTGGGCCTGCAAATCGTTCTGGGGATTCCAATCGGAATCATAGATGATCACCGTATCGGCGGCTGTCAGATTAATGCCCAATCCTCCAGCCTTGGTGCAGAGCAGGAAGACAAAACGATCCGATCCGGGCTTCGAATAACGATCAATCGCCTCTTGACGTAAATTGCCACGAATGCGTCCATCAATCCGTTCGAACGGATATTTGCGGTACACCAAATAATCCTCGAGTATGTCCAGACAGCGTACCATCTGACTGAAGATCAACACACGATGCCCATTCGCCTTCAGTTTGGGCAGCAGCTTATCAATCAGCACCATTTTACCCGCCGAGAGTATAAGATTCTTGTAGTAGGACTCGGGATCGTCGCCGTGCTGTGCTTTAAAGTCATATTGGATCTGCTCCTCGGCGCCATTGAGCAAATATGGATGTATGCAGCACTTACGCAACTCCATCATTGTATTCATTAGATTGGGTATGTTCGCCGAGGTCGTTCCCTTTTTGAGGAAGCTAAAGTTTTGCTCCAATATGCCGCGATAGTATTTCTTCTGTATATTCGTCAGCTCCACCTCAATGATGGTCTCCTCTTTCGGTGCTAGGGATTTCTCGACATCGTCTTTGAGACGTCGCAGCATCATCGGCTTGAGTAGCACCTGCAGCTTATTGACTTCCTCCTCGGTGCGCAGACTGCCGAATTCCGACATAAACTCCTCCTGCGACGAGAATTGACTTGGCTCCAAGAAGTTTAGCAAGGAGAAAAGCTCGCTTATGTTGTTCTGCAGGGGTGTGCCCGAGAGCAGAACACGATGTTCGAGATTGAGCTGTCGTAATCCCTCAAGCAGCTTGCAGTTGCGATTCTTCAGGCGATGCGCCTCGTCGATCACACACAGCCGCCAGTTGAAGGCTTTCAGATCCATATAGTCAGTGACAATCATTTCGAATGTGGTGATAAGGACATTAAATTTAATCGGCTCCTTAAGCACTTTGCCACTATCTGTCTTGTAGTAGAACTCGTAGTCCTGGATCATTTGTTTGCTGGTCACCGAGCCGTGGTAGACAACCACGTTCATGTCGGTCCAGCCCTCGAATTCACGCTGCCAATTGGGTATGGTCGACAAAGGAGCTATGACCAAAAATGGTCCTCTTATGCCGTATTCGTAGACCGAGTGAACAAAGGTCAGACTCTGWATGGTCTTGCCCAGACCCATTTCATCGGCCAAGATGCAATTGTGTGAATTATACCAGGAGAATTTTAACCAATTCAAACCCTCCAGCTGATAGGGTCGCAAGCTATTGCCACCCTTATAGATGGGCGTCTTCTCCAGCTTCTTCCATTGTTCCGGATGTGGACGCTTACGACTCTTCCACTCGCATCTCAATGGTATTTTGTTGAAGCGCAAGTATTGCTCAATTTTATCATTATCTACATCCTCTTCCAGCTCCCAGGTGCAATCCTCATATGGCAATGATTTCCATTTAACCAAATAATGCTTGGTCGTCTCTCCGGTATTCTCGTCCGTATGGACAGACATATCCAGCACACGATCCACCTCCACAAAATCGGGATTGAAGGGCTCCTCTTCGATGTTCTCGAATATGTTGATTTGCTGTGCCTGCTTCTGCTGGAAGCGACGTATCTTTGCAGCCACGCGGCGATCTCCTTTGAGGAGTTCCTCTTCCGTGCGCCATTCGCAGTGCAGATAACTGAAATTTCGGTACTTCACAAAGTATTCCTCGACATCGATGAAGACTGGTTCGGGCTTATCATCCTTTGTAGTCGTGGACGATTTGTCGTCTCCTTCCTCTGCATCGTCTTCAGTCTGTTTTGTTGTCTCCTTGTCTTCGCCGTCTTTCTCTTTGTCTGCTTCTGTCTTTGCTTCAGTTGTTTCTTCTTCTGTTTTCAAGTTCTTCTCATCTTTCTTAACTTCAGCCGCAGTGTCGTCGTCTACTTCCATTTTCTCTGTCGCTTCGTCTTCAGCATCTTTTTCCTTTTCCGTTTCTTTCTCTTTGTCACTTTCTGTATCTGCTTCGGCTTCTTTTTCTTTAAGTTCCTCCTCTTTCACTTCTTCCTTCTTTGGCTCAGCTGGCTTCTCTTGTGCTTCATCAGTCTTGGCCTCTGCTTCTTGCTCATCTTCTGCTTTCTCTTCCTTTTCTTTTTGATCTGCGTCTTCAGCTGCTTTTTCGGGCTCGGCACCTTCGTCAGTTTCCATTTTCTCCGCCTCCTTTTCGGGCGTCTCTTCATCACTCTTTTCTGTCTTGACTGTGTCCAGCTGTTCATCCACTTCCATTTTGCTCTCGGCTTCAGCTTTCGTCTCCTCCGTTGATTTATCCACTTCTTCTTTGTCATCTTCATCCATTTTCTTGACTTCTTCGTCCGCCTTTTCGGCTTTGTCCTCGGCTTTCTCAGCAGTTTCTTTATCCTCTGCCTTTTCTGTTTCAGCCTCTGCTGCTGCGGCTTCCGCTTTGATCTCTGTCTCCGTCTTAGGCTCTGGTGTCTTCACTTTGGGTGGCTCGGGTATCAGCTCCCGCTTGCCCATGCGCAGGGCTAAGACAAACTGCACCACCATGCTGTCCTCGTCGCCCGTATTGATGTACACATAGTTGGGTTTCGAGGACATGGCTGATGCAGCCGACTCGTTAGCACTTTGCCTTTCGGCCTTCTCAGCGGCTGAGGTGCTGGAACTGGCCTCCAGCTGGCTGTTGGTGTCATCTGCTGCCACCGAGGGTTTCTCTTCGCCCGCAGAGCTACCAGCCTCGCCTTCGGCACCCGATTGTGGCTCTGCCTTCTCCACATCGCTGCCAGCATTCGAGTTGGCTGCATTGGCCGACGAAGACTTCTTTTCCTTCTTCACGGGGGAAGCTACCAGCAGGGAGTTCTCATCATCCGAGAAGCGTAGCATTACGTCGTCTATATACTTCTTGCGCTGTGTGTTTCTCGACGAGCGTCGCTTATTCGAGTCGAGTTCTGAATCTGGCGGTGGCGATGGCGGCGGCGTACGATCCAAGGTATCATCCTCGCCATCCGATTCGGGCACAATGCGTCCACGATTGCGTCGCTTCTTCAGGGCTTTGGCACTCAACGAGCCTCGATTCCGTCGTGCACTGCCGCCCTCTTCGGACGTGGCATTGCGACGACTGCGCGCCGTCGAGCGCTTGCGATCTCGACGACTCGGCGTGCTGGCTGCATCGCCGGCTGAGTCGGGCACCGAGTCCACTGTCTCATCGCCCACTTCGGCATCTTTGTTGTCGTCGTCGTTCGCACCTCTCGGTATCTTCGAGACGGGTATGTCATCATAGTCAGGCGACTCACCATCGACGCCTCCAGCTCCGCCGCTGGTCTCTGCCTCGCCTTCGCTGGACTTGGGCAACAGTGGCTTGTTATCCTCCTGCTCGCTGCCCTCGCCCGTTTGCTCGGCTCCATCTTCTCCAAACTGTTTGCGTCGCTTGCTAACACTCGCTCGCTTGCGTCCGCCTCCAGGAGATTCTGTAGAGTTCGGATCATTGGGATCCCGCGGCTTTTTCACCTTCGGCGTCCGATCACGTGGTGGCTTATTCGGATCTTTGGGTGCGCGTGGCTTGCGCGGCTTCTTCTTCTTGCCACTGCCATCGGTGGAGGTGTCCAGCTCATTGGCCGAATGCACATCCTGCGATAGATCACCCATGCTCTCGCTATATTCGAGTAGACCCACGACGCTCGTATCGCCCGCTCCCTGGGTAACACAGTCCTCGGAGACGGGCAACTGAGTGGTGGGTATGGGAATGATGCTGCCACTGCTGCTGCTCGCACTGGCTGCAGCCACAACCACATTGCCACTAATGTCCATTAGTTCCTGCTGCTGTTGTTGCTGCAATGCAGCAGCTGCTGCCGCCGCCTTGTCACCCTTTTTGGCACGTGGCTTGCGCGGTTTGTTGGCCCCCTTGCCACGACCACGCCCCGTTGTGCTGGAGACCTGTGGACTCTCGACCATCTGATTGTGCAACGCACTGCTGCCATAGAGCGGTGGCATGTTCTGATACAACAAACACTGCGGTCCGCCCGCACACTGCTCGGTCAGTTCGTGTTGCTGCAGTAGCTGGAGGCGCTCCTGCATGCGGATGAGCTTGTCCTGATGCTGATGCTCGTGTCCGGGCGGCATGCAATAGAGCTCTTGTATTTGCTGTTGCAGCGCGGCAATTTCCTGCTGATGCAGCATCGGATATGGTGGATACATGGCACCTGTTGCGCCTGGATACGGCGGCAACATGGGCTGCATGTGCGTCGGCGGCGGGGGTGGCGGAACTGCCGCAGCTGTCTGCGCTGTCAGCCCCGGCTGCTGCTGCGGCTGCTGAGGCTGCTGTCCCTCGTAGCCGGTTAGCGGGTGCATGCCACTCACGCCCAAAGGTGTTTGTCCCAGTGGCTGCTGCTGCTGTTGTTGCTGCTGCTGCTGCGGTTGGCTGAGCGTGGTGTTGTCCATTTGCGTTTGGCTCTTGTCTTCGCTGATCTCTTCAGCGGATTTCGTTTCGTCAGCCAACTCGCTTAAGCTCTGCTCCGCCAGCAGCTCCTCTGTCTGCTGCTGTTGCTTGTTGCCGCTGTCCAGCTCCTCAGGCAACGTTGTCTCACTTTGAGTTTCGGGCTGCGTCTTCGAAACACTATTCTCGTCCTGTGCCAGCTGGGCGCACAAGTCATCAGCACCTGTTGCTGGCTGCTGCTGTTGTTGCTGGTGTTGTGGTTGCTGTGGCTGTTGCTCTGGCTGCTCGCTCTTCGAGCTCTCGAATTCCGCATTCGATGATTGGGAATTGCTGTCGAGCAGCGCTGCCGCTGCATTCGCCGCATTTGAGGCAGCTGCAACGGCAGCAGCGCTCGTCGAGCTCATTGAATTGTTGTCGAAGAGACCAACGTCCACACCACTCACATGGTGGTGCGTGGTGTGCGTCGAGTCCGAGTTGCTGTTCAGCATGCCTCCGCTGCCAACAGTGTCCATGTTCGAGAGCAACGGCTGCTGGTTGTTGCTGTTGATGCTGCTCTGCGAGTTGCTGTCGTGCACCGAGGTGGGCTGGTTGTTGACAATGCTGTTGGTGCTGCTGTTGCTGCTGCTGTTGTTGCTGTCGTTGGCAGCGACAGCCAGCGTTGACGAATCATTCGAATTGGCTGTTTCGTTCAGTATGCTGCTCAGATGATGCGAGGGTGTTGGCGGTGTGGGCGTGGCTGGTTGCTGTTGCAACTGCGCCTGCTGTTGAACCTGCTGCTGCTGCTGCTGCTGTTGTTGTTGCTGATGTTGCTGCTGCTGTTGCAGCTGTGGTATGGGCGAACTAACATGCGCTGGCGACATTGTTTGCTGTGTTGCAGCTGCAGTTGCTGCTACTGCAGCAGCTGTTGGTGCTTGCTGTGTATCTCCCAGTATATTGGCAAATGCATCGAATTGCTGTTGATGCTGCTGCTGCTGTTGTTGTTGCTGCTGCTGTTGTTGTTGCTGCTGTTGCTGCTGCTGATTGCTGCTCTGTTGCTGCGCATAGTTGGGCAAATGTTGCTGCTGCAGCGGCGACTGTTGCTGATGTATGGGTGATTGATGCTGCAGCTGCTGTTGCTGCTGTGCCTGCAACTGTTGCTGCTGTGGCTGCTGAGCTGTGCTGGCCTCCAGCGAAGGCTGCTGCTGCTGCTGCTGCTGGTGATGCGCCGCAGAGCTCAGATGATGCATGCTGGGCAGACTCTGCTGATGCAGCGGCGAGGAGGCCATCTGTGCGCTCAGTTGCGCCTGCTGCTGATTGCCACCGACAATATCGTTGATGGAATGCTGCAGTTGCTCATTCAGTTGCTGCTGCTGCTGCTGTTGTTGTTGCTGCTGCTGCTGCTGTTGCTGTTGCAGCACTGGTGCTGGCGGCTGTGGGGGCGGTGCAGTGGGCGCTGTTTGCTGTGGTTGCTGTGTGGGCACAGAGACCGGCACGGGCACGGAGACAGGCACCGGCACGGGCACGGGCACCTGTTGCCCCATACTCTGTCCGTACATGCTCAGCTGATGCTGATGCTGCTGGGCTGCAGCCGCCGCTGCTGCTGCTGCAGCTGCCGCCTGTTGTTGCTGCTGTTGTTGTTGTTGCTGTTGCTGCTGCAGCAGCGCGTTCGCTTGTGCCTGTTGTTGCGCCTGCTGCTGCGCCGCCTGCTGTTGCGCTTGGGCTTGCTGCTGCGCTGCCTGTTGCTGAGCCGCCGCCTGCTGCTGCTGTTGTTGTTGCTGCTGCTGTTGTTGTTGTTGCTGCTGCTGCTGTGGCGGTGGCTGTTGTGGCGCCTGCTGTTGCATTGCCGCCATGTGCGGCGCGCCCCATTGCTGATGGTGCTGTGGAGAGGGTGAGGCGGGCATGCGTGGTCCTCCCATGACCGCAGCGCTGCGATACGATGAGGGATAGTCCATGGGCGGCAGCCCATGCGCCTGTGTGGGCATAACCATTTGTTCGAGTGCTTGCAGCGTGTTGACCACAGGCGGAACAACGCCGCCGGCTGCCACACTGCTGACTGGGACCTTGGCATTGCCGACTGTGGCTGAGCTCGGTGGCTGCGCTCTGGGCGAGGGCAGACCCACCATGCCTTGGATGCTATGCTGGCTAGGCGAATTGACCTGCTGCTGCTGCTGTTGCACCTGCTGCTGCTGGGCTGTTTGTGGTGGCTTGGCGGGCGATACGCCGGGCCGCGGCGACATTTGCGGGTGCGGCGACATTGTCGGCGGGCGCGGCGACATTTGTGGCGAAAGCTGTGGAAATGGTGCACGATATTGGGGCGAGGAGTTGAGCTGAGCGCTGCCCTGATGCTTGCTGCTGGACATGTAGGGCGGCGCACTCTGCTGCTGTTGCTGCTGTGCCTGTTGCTGCTGCTGCTGTTGTTGTGCCTGCTGTTGCTGCTGTGCCTGCTGCTGTTGCTGCTGCTGCTGATGATGGCTGCCATAGCTGGGCGGCATGCCCATGTGCGGCGGCGGCAACACAGCGCCTGGCAGCTGCTGCTGCTGCATTAGGCTCACGTGGTTCGGTTGCTGCTGCTGTTGCTGCGCCTGCTGCTGCTGCTGGGTCTGCAACTGTTGCTGCTGTGCACTGGCTATATGTGAGCTGGGATGCGCACCCAACTGCGCAGCCTGCTGCTGCTGCGCGGTTAGATGATGCGACGGCGGCGCTGCTCCGGGCACGTGTTGTCCATAGGCGCTCGCCTGATCCAGTGCCGCATGGCCGTAGCCCACATGTTGCGGAGCGCCGCGACCCGGCTGATGTTGCATCGGACTGCCGTAGGGACTGTGCGCGTATGCCTGAGGTGCCGCCGGCTGTGCTGCTTGAGCCGGCGCACCTGGATACAGCGGATGCTGCCCGGGCGCTTGTGGATAGTGCTGCGGCAGTCGAGCCTGCTGCTGGCTCTGCTGCTGCTGCTGTTGTTGCTGCTGCTGTTGCTGTGGCGTGGGTGGCTGTTGTTGTTGCTGCTGCTGCTGTTGCTGTTGTGGTGCCAGGCTGCCGTAGCCACTGGCGCCCAGGGCACCCATCATGTTCTGCTGTGCCCCGTACGGCACCAGCTTCTGCTGCTCCTGTTGTCCATAGGCGGGCATATGTTGGCGATAGGCGCTGGCATTGCTCTGACGCTGCTGCTGCGTCGGCGGCGCTGCCTGCGGATGTCCGTAGGCGCCTAGACCGGCACCGGGATATGCGGCCGCTTGGCCTGGCACAGAGGGCGCTGCACCCCAGCCGCTTAGATCAGCCATGCCGACGCCCATGGCCGCGTGCTGATCGGTGGGCCCCAGCCCGTAGAGATTCTCCGCCGTTGGCTGGTACGATGGATATTGTGGCTGTTGCTGTAGCGGATGCGGCGCCCGATGACGCGGCGGATAGCCACCGGGCGGGCCCATGGCTCGAGGATTTGCCGCTGCGGCAACGGCTGCTGCGGCGGCCGCATCATAACGGTAATAGGGATCTCTGTAAGCGGATAATGAATGTAGCATTAGTTGAAAATGAAGAAATGTGCCACAAGAATTTAAAGAAATTAATTACTTATATTATTTACATCTAAGCTAATTCTCAATTATATTTAAAACTACACAATTAATTAATTAAAATCTTGTGATAATAAATCATTATAAGCAGTTACTGCATTCGTATTCATTATTACATTCATAATAATTATCGTTTTAGATATACATATGTATTCTAATTATTATAATTGCCTATAATCTATCATCTACAACATTGTCGCTAGTATTAAAATAATTATTTGAATATTGAAATAATTTTGAAATTGATCCCATTATCAATATTATCATCATTTTGTAGACTTTTTTTTTATTTATTTTTTTTATCATTATTAATAACAACATTTTATTTTGTATAATAATTTGTTAGATTACCACCCAACATCTAACAAATTATTATACAAAATAAAATGTTGTTATTAATAATGATAAAAAAAA